ATATATAAGTGCATCAAAGTGCCAAACATTCAAACACAAAACAAATGCACGGTGTCTTGTACCTGTGAATATTTCAAATACATTGTACATAAATGAGCATTTCTTATTGGTTTATAAAAACTATTTATGTCCTTAATATTGTAAAATATGCCCATAATATATCATTTTTATTTGTAAATTGATATCTTGAAATTATTTTAAGACCCTCTCTTGGTGTTTAGTGACCCACATGGGTTATGAACAATTAATATCTTACCTGCTGTAGGTAGATTTTTGAAGCCTCAGTTTAAAGTAAAAGTTGTTTCACTCTGATTTTTCATTGAACTGTTCCTCTGTCCTGCCACCCCTACCTTTACTTGTTRCTCATTACCATTATGACACTTGTCTCCAATGTCCTAACCAGTCCCAGTCCACTTGTCTTCATCTTCACCTCACCTGCAGTCGGTTATTGTGCTTCATTCCCTGTCTGCCTTTGTTTTATTTTTAATAATTAAAGCTTTTAGTTTTCACTTGAGCTCCTCATGTTGGTGTGTGCTCTTGGGTTTATCTCTCTCTATGGTGCCACTTCAGAAGATCTGAAATCTCCCTCAATGTGACAAAATAGATTTTTTTAATTTATCATGCTTAGTGTCTAAGTTTGTCCAAAGAAAAGGGCCAAGAAGTGAATTCAWCTGGAAATTTGGCTGAAACTGGACAGAAAACTTTGAGTCACTGCCTCCGCTTTCAGTATAGGAACAGTGTGTGTCATGGCATGTGAGAGTGTGTTTATATAAATCTGTTWTCCTACCTCCCATTGTGAACATGGACTGTCAGCTGTCACTTTTCAGCAGCGCTGTGTCTGGATTTAGTGTAAGTCTGTGCAGTGGTATGTCTGTGTGTGTGTGTGTGGTGGGCCTGTCTCCACTTTCAGAGGGTTTCTAACTTAGCAGCGTGATATAGTTCCTGTGTGGTTCTAATACCTTCGACCTCTTTCAAACAAAACGCACACACACACACACACACACACACTCGTACACACTGATGCACTCTGGGCTCAGCTGGAGCCTCTTTTAATGAAGCCAACCTCCCTGTTCAGACACAGGGGCAGAGGTGAGGGGTTAAATCTTGGGGAAGCCCAAAAACAAGCCCACTTCAGAAGAGAAGAAGAGGATGCAGGGAGGATAGTGAAAAGAGGGGTTAAAGAGAAGGAAGCTTGAGAAGAAAAGGAAAAGCTGGAGTTTGGTGAAGCAAGATGAAACCTAATCAAGTATCAGAGTGAAAAAAGTTCTCTCTTATATCCACAAGAAGTCAGCTTCCTGGTCAAAATATAACKTTCAGTCCTCCTCACTGGTGGTCTGATTGATGAAGAGGATTCAGAGTGGCCTTCTGCAGTTCTCACACATCTGCTCATGCGTGTGGGTCTGTGCTGTTTGACTGTTTTCCTTTAAGGCAAGCTGTGAAAGACAAAATTGGATTGTTTATATTTTAGACAGATGGAATAAAARATCAAACACAAACTCATTGTTTAAAGGAGAAAAAGAGGATGCATCAGATTTCCTGAATAGGGTCATTTATGATTTGCTGCCCAGAATAAAATGACAGTCAGTGACCCAACATATCAAAARGAGGATTAAGTCAAGTTTGGTCAAAATGACCTAATCACATTTTCTGACTCCTGTCTTTAAAATCTACATTTTGATACATGGATCATTCTGATATCATAAGCAGATCCAGAGATATGACTTAATTTGTCTTGTTGGTTATGATGATACATTGTTTGGTCCGAACCTTAATTTCATGTCATTTTAATGAGGAATTTTTCATGTCATAAAGAGGAAACCTCAAATAATGTTTGAATTTTAGGATTTTCCAGATGGGAAGAAACAAAAACTTTACTAGCTCATGGAAAATCTTAAAATTTGAAGGTGTTTTTTCCTCAAAATCAATTTTTTTATTGTTACTGCTTAAAAAAGTGCTTCAAAAAATTTTAGGATTATATTTCAGACATTTCATTCAAATGATACATTGACAAAGCTAACTGATTGGTATTTATTATATTTTAACAAGATGCAATTTTTGCAAACGTTTTAATCAAAAACTTATATCTGCCTATTTCTCTACATCCCACTTTTAGATTTACCCTTGTTTCGGTATAATGAGTCACTAAACTATGCAATTAATTAAAGACYTATTTTGGTTTATTTGAAGCAGAGCTCTGTAGTAGCTGTAATATTTCAGATAGCTTTTTGAATACATCCTGCCTTATTGAAACATAATACAGAAAAATATTTTAAAAAATGATTCAAACTCTGAAAATAAATAAATACATAAATATTAAATGCATTTAAATATATTTGGATTATATGTAAATTTAAAAAAAAACATGTCAGGCTTCCCCTTTTGTTTGACTTGCTACAAAAAATATTCTCAGCAGTTTAACTAAATGAAAAGATGAAAAAAATGGATAAAATGTTATTTTCTTTTGTTCGATTGCACCAAAAGTTGCAAAAACCAAGCTTGTGTTGACTGTACAATGTTGTGTTATGTTTCATCAGAATATTCAAAGTGTGACTCAGATTGTTGAGTCATATTGGACGTTTATCATGCCTCACACTACTGTCTTGGATCGCACCAAAGTAAAAATGCACACAGTCTGTGCAGCCTCCTACAGAGATATTCTGTACAGCTGACATAAATACACAAAGTGTCAAACTGTCAGCGCAGCTCATGTGGGACCTGAACAAGTTTTTACTTATTTTTAAACCTGATGGACTGCTGTAGTAAATACACAGTGAGTTATGTATGTCTGAGCTAAAGGGTTAAGGAGCATTTTTCAGCTATTTATTTAGGTTTAGTGGTTCAGGAAGCATGACTGCTTTCCACCACCACCCCCTCCTTGTTGTATAAAAACAGTATCAGTACTCTCTGTGTGATTCAGACCACCCTCAACATGTGTGTGTTTGTGTACTCAAAATATGAAAGCATGCTTTTTTAAAATTCTATTCATATTTGGGGCTATAGACATGTTTACATGTGCATTCCTTGATGCATTGAACAGCTTACACCCTGAGAAGAAAACCCCAAACACAAACTGAGCGYTGTCGCGTCCAGAGTTCAGTGCAGCCTGGAGCGTTCAGACCTCTGTATTGGAGAAACAAAGCAGCAGCAGCAGGTGGAGGCAGTGAAGATTGATGATACCTGCAGTGCTGATTACACAATCAGAGCTGCAGGAATCTGTGGAATGTGCACGGGCATTAGCTGTTAGCCGATTAGCATTGTAGAGGCCACAGTCGGGGTCAAGAGCTGGGGGGTCAAAGGTGGAAGGTCACGCAGTCCGTCTGGAACAGAGGTACTCACAAAAAAGTCTTGTTCCAYGTGTTTAACTGTTGACTCCACAGAAATCATCTTACTCCATTTTAGTTCATGTTCGTGTCACATGGTGTGATCTGATGGCTGCATTTATTTTCATGCCTCTGATCTACCTCGTTTATTACCAGACATGAATAAAAACACATCGCATCTATGTTTGTGCGTGTATCACTCAGCACCTATGCTCATCCTTGACTTTGGCAGGTTGCTATGCTTACTCCTGTTTTACTTGGCAGCTAATGGTACAGTCGTTTTCGAGCACCTGTTTTTACGTTTGAGTATATTAATACTCCCGTAGCGAGTGCGCAGAAGAACATGTGTGTGTGTGTGTGTGTGTGTGTGAGCCATGAGAGCTTCAGCTCAGTTAAAGTGGCTGAAAATTAAATCTCTTTAAACCCCGACGCTCATAGCTACACACATCCATCACTTACTCCTTAAAAGCCAGAAGGGAGAGAAGGAAGTTAGTGGGGCTGAAGTGGTGATGAGAGAAGGGACAGAAAACTCTGAGGGTCACCAGTGCCCCCTGCAGGTAGTCGGAGTGTTTGAAGCCGCCCCTTTACCTGACTTCTATGGGAGCATGACTAAATGACTGCTGGTTATAGATATGAGGACACTTGTCAGAGTCCTCCTGCTATTGAGAGATGAGCAACACTGCTGATTATAGCTGATGGAGGACTCTGAGGTGTTTTGGATTTTCCAAGTGCCTCTCTGCTGCAAAGCACATGATTCAGTGACACCTTGACCCTAAATCCTCTTCTCTTTTTTGTCTCTTCTCTGTCCAGTGACCTGAGTGAAAACCAGATTCAGGGGGTTCCTAGGAAAGCCTTCAGAGGAGCTGTGGAAATCAAAAACCTGTAAGTGGCTTTCCCTCAGCCTTGTTTCTGCACGTGTGTGCAGTTTGGTGAGCATACGTCTGCCTTTTGCTTCTCAACGTGTCTGCTAATGTGCACAACGCTCGTAGGTCTGCGCATCAATATTTCATTGTGTTAAATGTCATGGGCCTCCCGCTTGCCGTATTGACTTGCACCTGCTGCTCGTTAGCAGCTGTGTGCATGTTAAAGTGTGTGACAGAGAGATGTCAGTGGCATTTTGCTGTTTTTTGTTTTCTTTTACCTCCCTCACAGCCAGAATAATTGTTGATCATTTTATCAGCAGAGCATTTGCCCAGCGGTAATTCTATAAATAAAGACTTATTAACTAATTCACTGCTTCCTGGATTTGTCCCACAGCCGATAATTTATCTTTTTTTTTCCGAAATGTCGTGCAYTTATTGTAAAAGGCCAGGGAATTACATGGGCGTGTGTGCATCATCACGGCAGCACGTGATTTACAGTCCTTATATCTTAACGAAATGGATGTGAGAACTGTTGCGAGAAAGAGAGGAGGGAGAAGACAAGGAAGGAGGTGAATTAAATGTCAGACTACAGAGAGCAGGAAACTTGACTACAGAGACACATAAAGAGCTGCATAAAGAACAAGCAGGACTAAAACAGGGGGACAGTCTGATGGAGACAGAAAAAGGCCACTGATGTGTCGTTCAGGGGAGCCGATGCATTTTCATCTCTACATGGAGCTCTTTGGCTCTACGATTTGATGAAGATATATTGTCAGCTACTTTTTTTGTCTTTCTTGTATGTGCGCGTGTGTGTGTGCAGCCAGTTGGACTACAACCACATCAGCTGCATTGAAGATGGAGCTTTCAGAGCATTACGTGACCTGGAAGTACTGTGAGTACCTGTTTATTCAGTCCCAATATGAACAGCAGCAGAGCTTTTTTCCCCCCATCAGGAGCACTAATAGCAGAGGAATATGGAACAGCTAATATTCTTCTTGACCTTTCAAACACTGCACTACCTCCACAGCTCCTGGAAAGGGCACTTTGATATCGTTTCAGGACCGGCTTTAACGGGCGCTTCTTTGTGCCTGTTAGCATGTAAAGATGATCTCTGTGATTTGTGTTGACATGAGACTCAAGCCAAGTCTGCAGCTGAATTTGGCTGTTTGAGATGTTTCCTATTCGTTCTGTCATTTTACAGTAAAAAAAAAAATAAGAGGAGATGTAAGGATTACAGGGATTCTGTCTACTTTTGAAGTTAAATCCAGCGTTTCTTGAAGGAATCCATAACCTGCATCCAGCAGATTTTTAGTCAATGTTAATATAAATTTATAGCACATAAAAAACAAGAGAGGTTGACCAACGTGCTTTACAGTTCAGGCAAAGGCTTGTGTCATTAAGAACATAAAATAAACTATCAAATCAAAAAACATCAGTTCTAATTTAACATTAAACTGCCTGAATCAAAAGCCAAAGAAAAAAGAGATGGATCTTGATTTAAAGATTTATTTAGAGCATCCTATAATTAAAAGAGATGGAGTTGAAATTGGTTTAATCAAGCCGTCTTAAATTAGGTTGATTCCAAAAGTTAATCAGTAGTAGATGTGCATTTAATGATTGCTTTTGAGGAGGTTCATTAAAATCTGTTTACTGGTTCATTAGATTTTCTGACAGTGCAACAGGTAAACAAACACACACACAAAGAAACAAGCAAAGACTTTATCACCTGTCGCCTTCGACGCCACGTTAAATTAATACAGTCAAAACAGAGATTTGGGATTATTTGCATGAGTGATGTCACATTACCAGGGAAAACAAAGGCTTAAGGTCCCAAAATGCTGACACACAAAGGGATCCTTTTCATTGAAAAATGATCAAAGTAACACCAGACTGCAGCAGTGAAGAAAACCATGACATGAGGAACTGACCACTGGACAGTAGGAAACTTAGACTGTAAAAACAGGAAAATATGTGACACCTGTGAAAGTAATTCCACAGAATAAAACTAAGTGTAGTCATTGAATCCAAACAATCATGACAAATTACACCAAACTTCAAACTGTGGAGTCATTTTACTGTTGAACTGGGGGTGAAGGTGAGGATGTGCAGGCAGGTGAGAGTTTTTTTATTCTTACTTTAAAAAAAGGCAAACTGATGCATTGCCAAGTTGTTTTGTCGTCTGTATTTTCCCTCTTTTCTATGTGTCTCATATTGTCTTTTCTCTTCAGAACCCTGAACAACAACAACATCAGCCGATTGTCTGTGGCCAGCTTCAACCACATGCCAAAGCTCAGGACTTTGTAAGTGGCTTCCACTTCATATTTGACCCTCGGCTGGCATGGAGGCCCTTCATCTGACAGTTTATTAAACCATTAACTGATTGATCTTCTCTCCTCTCTCCTGTGCCTGGTGTCTGCCCAGCCGCCTGCACTCCAATAACCTGCAGTGTGACTGCCATGTGGCCTGGCTGTCCGAGTGGCTGCGACAGCGCCCCCGCTTGGGTCTCTACACACAATGCATGGCCCCGCCACACCTGAGGGGCCACAATGTGGCAGAGGTGCAGAAAAAGGAGTTTGTGTGTGCAGGTAGGCCGGCTGCACGGCTGAGGGATCTGTTTTTTTTTTTTTTTTTAGTGATGAGCTTTCTGTGTTTGCTCTTTGACAACAGCAAACGTCTCTTTGGTTTTCTTTGCTTCTTCTCACTGTCTTTTGATCATGCTTGTCAAGATGGGGATGAAGGTCAGTATTTGTCTTCCTCTGCATAGTTTGTCGTTAATTTCACAAATAAAAGTTAGACCTCAAGCAAAAAAATAAATAAATAAAACACTTACAGTGATAAAAAATAAGTCCACCCTCCATCATTTCAAGAGTTTTTTGACCTTCCCGTTATTGAGTCTATTTAAATCCAACCTCGTGATTTCATCATGCCATTATTTGGTAACAAAAACATAAAGAAGAGTGGACCATAATTCCATACATTCATATGAGTGTCTGACAAAGTCATACAGAAAACTATTACCGGTACAAAAAAATATTGCTGCTACAGATGGTGCTACAAGCTACTGAATCAAGATGAGTTAAGCTTTTCACACGTCTTTTTCCATTTTTCTTTTGTTTTTTTTTTTTAATAAAAATGGTGTGTGTGGGGGGGGGAATTTGCTGTGTTTTTGTACTTTGATGTTAGATTTGAACAATTTGAAAACCTGGTGAAGGTTTAAAGGAGGTGAACCTTTTTATTTTTTAATTTCAGGAAGGAGATTTGTCCTTCAATTGCCGTTTTTTTAATCTTTTGTTCTTCAACACACGTTCCCATTTCAAAGTAACAGAAGCGTGATAATCTATAATTATCAGTGGATAATACTGGCTCCCTGTGTCTGTGCAGGTCACCAGTCATCATCATCATCTTCCTCCTGCAGTGTGTTACAGTGTCCAGAGTCCTGCACCTGCAGCAACAACATTGTGGACTGCAGAGGAAAGGGTCTGACAGAAATACCTACCAACCTGCCTGAAACCATCACTGAGATGTAAGACATGCACAGAAACACACACTGTTGCACGCACACACACACACACACACGCACTCTTGTATCCACTGTAGGTGCAGTGATATTTCTCCTGCTCTTTCATCGAGCGCCTCTTCAAATTTCCTGTCTTTGTCTTTTTCTACCGTTCGGTTTCACTTCCTCTTTTCTTTTTTATTTTTTTATTCGTGTAGCGAAATAAAAGCACACGTCTGTGAAATGAGAAAGCCTGCTCATGCAGCACCTTCCTTCTAAAGTAAATAAGAGTGGAATGAGGACAAAAAAGTAGTCAGACATTTATTTAAGACATAAGGAAGACCGTAGATGAAAATGGGCATCAAGAAAAAGAAAAGAAAGGTTAAGAGCCAGCACGATGAAAAATCCCAAAATCAACCCTGTAACTTCAAAAATTGTCTTACAAATGAAAGTTTTTAGAGTATCAGAGTATTTTTATTTTGTCTTCTGGGTCATGCTCATGTTCTGGTTTGGCTTGTTGAAACGGACTGAGTATTTGTGGGCGCAACTGTTTAAATACTAAAGAAGACGAGATTAGAGAAATGTCACCCAACCCTGAGCAGCGTCTATCAAATCTCTTAATCTGGAAATGTTCTCCTCAGCCAGGAGAGCAGGATTATATGGGAGAGAGATGTGTCCGTGATAGAAGAAAGTTAACGTCTCTTCTCAACGGTGTGTGTGTGTTTATTTGGTTCCAGACGACTGGAGCAGAACGCTATCAAGGTGATCCCAGCTGGGGCCTTTTCTCCTTATAAGAAGCTGCGCAGGATGTGAGTAGATTAAACGATTTGTTATTCTGCAGCCTGTCAGCTACAGAGCTGCGCTGCCGTGTTTCTCTTCTCCTCCACCTTGGTCTTGTTCTGTGCTGCTTCTCTGATTCCTGTTTCTCTTCTCCTTTGCACGTTTCGTTTGTTTTGTTTTCAGAGACTTGAGTAACAACCAGATATCTGAATTGGCCTCGGATGCCTTCCAAGGTCTGCGCTCCCTGAATTCTTTGTAAGTATTCTGTCTTCTGTTTGATTTGAAGGTTTGCATTTTGGATTTGAAGCTGATTTTGTGATATTTAGTGCCTTAGAAATTAATTGGACTGGATTCTAATWATGGTGCATTTGAAAACATTTGATAATTGTTTTGATCTGGAGAAAGACTTTTATACTTTTATTTGTTGGTTATGGTTTGAGCTGCACGCATGTAGTATGATGGGATGATGGTTTGGGCTTGTTTTGRAACCACAGACTGATGCTTCTTCAAACGTAAGTGATCTTAGAAAACAGCCACAATCAGGATTAACAGGAAAACAGTTTATTTATGTTAAAGCTAATATTACCATCAGCAGATGTTTTTTGTATACCTTTTTGCATCTGATCTAATTCTTTTTTTTTTTTACAAAAAAACGTAGGTCACCTACGTGTCACTTTCACCATCAAATACACCAGAATAATAATTGCAATTAATGTTTTTGATGAAAATACAGCTAAACCCTCCTGTTGTCTGAGTCCGGTGTAACGTTTAATGAGAGAAAACAGAGAAAGGAGCTGATAAGAGTCTGAGGAGGGACGTGGAGTTGTTCCGTGAAGGAGTTAGATTAAAGTGTCCGCTCTCCAAAAGTCAATAATTCATAAACGCTGAATTGCTGAACGAAGGCTCCTGCCACCTCATTACACATTCACATAACGGGACACACGCATTCGCGCTGACACACCACATACAACGTGGCTCAAACATTAAGAAAACGCTGTCTGTGCATTTGTCACGTGTTGGGGTAAAAAAGTTGTAAACGACCGACTAACATGTTGTAAAACCGACTTTGACTAGTCAAACAAACCTGGTTTGGATAAAAACTTGACTTTTTGCTCAGTGAATTCTGCGAGTTTGTGTTTGTGGGATAAAAGTGASAAGAGTGTAATAGTGATCAAACTCATGACTTATTATTGTAGTGTTTCTTCTCTGCAGGGTTTTATACGGGAACAAGATCACKGAGATTTCCAAAGGGCTGTTTGAGGGACTGTTTTCTCTGCAGCTCTTGTGAGTATTCACACACGCACACACAAACACACACATACACACACAAGCTGCAGCTAAAACCTGACATCTGCATCTCATTGATATTCATCTAAAAAGTGCTGACCTCGTACAATACAGCTGGAGAGGAGACATTCTGACTGAAAGTCATTATCACTGACCTGATCGTTTGAAAGACTCGTAGCAGAACAACAACAGGATAAAAATGAATTTTGTAAAGTTTTTCTTCACTTTTTCACTTCTGTGTTTCAGGTTGCTGAACGCTAATAAGATAGCGTGTTTGCGCGTGGACGCATTTCAGGACCTTCATAACCTCAACCTGCTTTCCCTGTATGACAACAAGCTCCAAACCATCGCCAAGGGGACGTTCTCGTCTCTGAGAGCCATACAAACACTGTACGCACACACACGGTTACAGCTCACTGATCGCACACACGATTACAGCTCGCTGTACGCACACACATTAGACTCYCAAAGGTAAATCAAAAGGAGTTTTACAATCTGCAACAGCCAAACAGTTCTATTTATTAACCACTTCATGGCCACCTGGAACTGAAGTCACAAACATTTTCATCACTTTTCTCAGTCTTATCKCTCATTTAAGTTTTATCTATTTTCCTTTAACTATTTCTAAAGTAAACAACAAACACAACGTTCATACTTTTTCATAGGGTATTCTTTCTACAGAATACTTTCAAAATAAAAGTGGTGACAAACAAAATGATAATGCYGAAAATAGGTTCTTATCTCAGTCCTGTTGAAGTGTATTTTGGAAGAATTGTGTTTTGAAAAACACCTGGTACAAAGKAGCTTTGGGGGTCTACAACTCTGCATAGAACCAGTGGTGGGCACAGTCCCCCTAAAGCACTAAAGCACTAATAGGGGAACTAATTTTCTGATTAGTGCTTTGGGGCTTTTGCTAATTTCTTAATTCATTAGTGGATTAGCACTTGCTAAATTTATGGGCTGAATTTATAAGCACTAATTTAGTTCTTCAAATGTTATTGATCAACATTACTGTCAACAGCTGAGGGTGAAAGRTGTCAGACTTGTTGGCCAAATGCGTGTCACTTATCTACTAGATCAGTGGTTTTCAAACCTTTTTTTTTTGCTTCCGACCCACAAAATAACAGTTGCAGACACTCGTGACCCCATATATTACTCATTTTTGTATGCAAACTTTGCCAATAACTCTGTTAAACAACTATAAACTTACCTAGTAATTATGATACTAATTTTTATTCATTTATGATTATTTAAAAAAATTGCAATAATCATGATGAAAATATTCCATTAGCATTTTTTTTGCATTTAAACTGAAATCATCTAAGGACCCTCATTTGATGTTTTGTGACCCACAAAGAGATCTCGACCCCAACTTTGGGAACCTCTACACGAGATGAAATATTAACAATATTCTGCACACAGAAAATATTGTCTCATGTTGACTCTGAGGAATGTTCCACGGGTCATCTGGGTTTTTAGTGCTTCYYAATTAGCTTTAGCTAAATTTTTAAGTGRGTTAYTGCTTTAGAATTAGGGGACCTAATTATTAAAGTTAGTGCTTTAGGGTTAGTGCAAGTAATTTTTAGATTAGTGCTGCCCACCACCGCATAGAACATTTAAAATACAAATAAGAGTTGCAATGTCACATTAATGTGCTTTTTATATGAAAATGTCAGCTTCTGGCAGCGCATGTGAAAACATATTTTTTACATAAAAAACTGCCTTTGATAGTTTTATACCTTTTAAACTACATACAATAAGGAAATATTAAATAAACCACACATTCAGCTCAGTTCTTCAGTCATTGAGCAACATGCATGTAATACTGTGAAAAGGTTTTCTTTATGCTTTCCTTCCAACCACTCAAACTGTCGTGTAATTTTTTTAAAGTGCTCTTGATCAATAGATCATCAAGCTTTTTCTGACCTGGCAGCATATTGTTTGGTGTGTGCTTAAAAGCTCTTCATTGATCATCTGCTGTTTGCCAAGTTTTCAGCTAATAGTTCTGCAGGAATCACTTTACTGGTGCTGAAATACTATTTTCTCTCTGTTTTATATGTGTGGGTGTGTGTGTGGTTGGGGTGGATCAGTCACTTAGCCCAGAACCCATTTATCTGTGACTGCCACCTGAAGTGGCTGGCCGACTACCTGCAGGATAATCCCATTGAGACGAGCGGCGCCCGCTGCACCAGCCCCCGGCGCCTCGCCAACAAACGCATCGGACAAATCAAGAGCAAGAAGTTCCGCTGCTCAGGTAGAAACCGCCCGAGATTTAACCCACACATGATCTCAAAACTTCACAACTTAAACATGGAAGCACAGATCTCCAAACATGAAGAAAATGAAATTAAATAAAATTAAAATCAGCTTCCCTCCTGTTTTTTTCTCATTCTGTATCTTCCTGTTGGGGTTTTCCCTCTGATTCTCTCTACTAACCTCACACTCCTTAAATGCATTACATTGTGAGCTCAGACACAAACTCTTACACACACACACACACACACACCAATGTAGCTGATGAGTGTTCTCTTCTAGCCTAACCTTTTGTTGTTGATTTTCATTTTCATGCTCTCTGTCCTTCCATTAGCTAGAGAACAGTATTTCATCCCAGGTATTGTACACTGAGCATGTGTGAGTGTGTTTGAGACACTTTTTTAGCTATTTCACAGTACACATACACACTCTCTTCAGTTTGAGTGGTTTGCATTGACTGACACTTTTTAATAAGCAACTTTTTTTTCTTTTTGTAGTTAAAATTGATGCATAAAGCAGCATGTCTAACCAGGCACCAGACACTCACACTCAGGTCACTTGTGTTGTGACTCTTGACATTATGCTGTATSTGTYCAGTGACCACGTACAGTATTTAACACAGTTCTCTTCTTAGCACGTTTAGTGAAAGATTGTGTCCACAAGCATGTGTGTGTGTGTGTGTGTGTGNGTGTGTGTGTGTGTGTGTGTGTGTGTGTGTGTGTGTGTGTGTGTGTGTGTGTTTTCGCTCACTGCAGAACATCAAAAAGGTCACACAGTCGCCACGCTCAGAGGGGTGTTGGGAAATATGCAAATGAGGCTTGCATATGAGATCTGTAGCAGGGCTAAAGGCGGTCATTACAGCTGCACACAGAAAGTCAGGGTGTGTGTGTGTCAGTGTGAGTGTGTGTGAGTGCTCACTGCAGTCATTAACGCCAAAGCTCACCAGGAGGACAGAGGTTTCAAAGCCCAGATCCCATGTATGAGGCAAAGCTGAATAATTTAACAGCATTTCAAAAGTTGAACGAGCGTCTTCTGTTCGGTGGTTCAACGTTTGTGTTGCGGATCAGATCGGCGCTTCGAGAAGCTGCTCGTTTAATTCGCTTTGGGMTTTTTTTTCGCCGGAGCTTCAGATTCCGAGTGTTCGGAACAGGCCAAAGGTTGACACTTTTTTTACTCCTTTGTGTGGTTTTGTGTGCTTTCAGTGCACAGTCTTGCAAAAACGAGCCCTGAAGCTGTCTGGCTTTYAAGGGATAGTTCAAACCTTTTGAAGTGTTATTCCTCCAAAAAAGGTAATTAATATCTAACCTGTTGGAGATGTCTTCTGTTTAAAGAAATAGAGTTTATTTCTGAGCAACTGGATCAGTTAACAGATTAAAGTGGATCATCTTAAAACGACAAAAATTTCACAGTATTGAAATTATTTACTGCCATTTCAGAGTGTGTTTTTTTACAAAGAATTATTAGACTGCATGTAAGGAAAAATGACCGTATTGAATCTGGCACCACAACGAGCAATCACAGACACCATTATGAATTTGTTTTAAYGCAGCAACTATCGGTTTTGGCCCTACTCAGAGTAGCTGTTTGCTCGTCAGAATTAAACTCTATTTCTCCAAACTGAGCTCACTAAAAGAAKTATCTYCAACAGGTAAGATATTACTTGTTTATAACCCTTTCCCAAAATCCTACTTCAAAAGATCTGAACTTTCCCTTTTAAGAAAACTAGGCAGAGATGTGTGTTTGATGGGTGCTTCCTTCGTCTGTCATGTAAAGCCAGCATGACTCTCACTGTTCYTTACTCCAAACGAGTCACTGCCTGGGGACAGAACTGAACCTTCAGCACAAATTACAGAATTTTTTGTTTTTTTTATCATTCCACTTTGTTTTTGTTTTTTTTGTTTTTTTTGTCTTTCTTTTCCCCTTTGGGAGTAACAAACAAGTCAAATACCTTCTTCTTTCTCCTACTGCCTTTCTAACACACACCATCAGGAGTACATCATGTTGGCTGTAAGTAACAAACACACACACACAAACACACAAGGTTCTCCATCAACTCTGAATCCCTCACCCCTCATCCCAAGGCTGGCCTCTGACCTTTGACCCCTTCTGTGACTCCTCCTGTTTGTTCACCTCCAGTATTAATGAGAATACTCATCAGATTTGGGAGGATTCTGTTTTTCTTGTATTGTACAATGTGTGTGTGTCAGTGTGTGTGTGTTTTAACCAGAGGTCAGGGCTTCTCTTGTGTTCGACGCTGCTGAAAACTCTCCTCCCGCTCTCTTTAACAGCTGCTCCTAAATGTGTGTAGATGTTTCAGCCTCTTGCTATTTCTGCTCCTTGTTATGAATAACTCACTGCAATTTCCAACTTGCCTGATTCCCTTTTCTGTCTTGTTTTTTATTACAAATGATTCCATTTCTCAAGACAGATTCTCCTTTTTCATCCTCTCTTTGAGTTTTTATTAGTTTCTACTTTTCCATCTCAAATCTTTTTTTATTTTATTTTAGTTTCCTCACACTTTACTCATTTTTAGCTTTTTCTCTGCTCTCTTGTTAATCTTTTCCCCTACAATTCCTTTTTTATCTTCTATGCTCCCAACTTTCTTTACCATTCCCACCTTTTCCTCAACTATTCCTTTTATACGTGTCGCTCCTTTTTGATCGTTCCTCTCCTGCAGATGGAAGCATTGCAAAGCTCTGTAGAAAACCTCCTGTCTTGTCCCGTTCTTCCTCCTCTGCTCCCTCCTCCCTCCTTCTCCTCCTCTGTCCCCTCCTGTGTTCCGGTGGAGGAGCAGTCAGTCAGTCAGCAGGTTGTTCCTTTGTGCTTGATCTAACCATGTGGCTGCCAGGTTCCTATAGTGGAACATGGTTCTGTCAAGCACCATGGAACGGCCCTGCAAACCCCTGCAGCATGGGCGAGACGCAAGAGACAGCAAACTCAAAACTGTCGCTGRCCACTAATTCTGTGTGTGTGTTTGTGTGTGCATGTACAAAGTTGTTTTTTTCCTGTTTGGTGCAGTTTTGTTTGTGCCGTAGTTTCTGACACTAACAGTTGCTTTTGAGTCTGACAGGCCAGAAAAGCTCRGATATCTTTGTTCTCCCTGGGATGTGTGTGAGTGTTTCCCTCATGTTGATCTTTACCGATTGTGTGTCCTTATGTCACTTCTTTAAACGAATACTCTGATCATTTTTGAAATGATCTTTCTAATAGTCATCAATTGTCKTAACTTTATGAGCTGTGAGAGTCGTAGAGCAACAGGGGACATTTTATTTTGTTTTGCAGGTTTATAGAACAATTCTGTCTCAGACATGACAACATTCATATCTGTGTAAGATGTTACATTAGCTAATAAGCCGCTACACTTTTGCGTGAAATTGTCTATTTAGTTTGTTGCTGTTCTTTCAACCAAACAATGCATTAATGTGTGCAGAGAATATCGTAGGACATGTAGTAAWACAGACTRTATTAACTGAGAAAARAGCAACAAACTAAACAGATGTTGATGTGCAAATGTTTAGAGGTTTATTATTAGCTAATAAAGTGTTGTTTTCTTTTTGGATGACTTAATTTTTTTTAAGCCTGAAAAACAACATAAAATATGCCTGGCAAGCCTTCAGTCAAGGAAGACTTGGGCTTTTTTTTCTTTCCACTCATAAGACTGTTAAATATTTCACAGAACATCACTTCAYAAATGTTCAGACRATCCCTTTAAGTCTCTGCAGCATTTTGGAAAATGTTGCATGTGATCATAATTGGTCACATTCTTCTGGACATCTTTGATTTATTTTGATAATTCCCCTCGCMCTCTGAACCAAAGTGACTCAGCTCTTCTTCTGCAACATCTAAAGGTCCTTCCATTGTTTAACACCCTGAGCTTTTTTTTATTGTTATTGGAAACAGTGCCARGGAAAGCTGGGCTTTGAGTCTCACATAGCGAGGGGTGCTCATTGACATTGTTGTTGTGATTAAAACCAGGTACCGAGGATTACCGCAGCAAGCTCGGAGGCGATTGCTTCGCCGACTTGGCCTGCCCCGAGAAGTGTCGCTGCGAGGGCACGACAGTCGACTGCTCCAACCAGAAACTCACCAAAATCCCAGATCACATTCCTCAGTACACAGCCGAACTGTGAGTCACTCTGTTTGTCTCCAGCAATGTGTGTTATAGGAAAAACCTCACATTTGATCTCCTCTTGCCTAATCTGTCTTTTTCCAATTATCTTTGACCCTTTTGCCTCCTCTTACGTGTTTTTAGGCGTTTGAACAACAATGAATTCACCGTGCTCGAGGCGACAGGGATCTTCAAAAAGTTACCTCAGCTGAGGAAGATGTGAGTCAGAAGTGTAAATGTAACGAGAACAAAGCGTGACAGATGTTTGCCAGAAAGTCAAACTGAGGTCACACAGAGAAAACTACGGTCGTAAACATGTTTTCTCTTGCTGTCGTTCACAACATTCACACTTTCTTCCTGTTCATGCAGTAACCTGAGTAATAATCGCATCAGTGACATAGAGGAGGGGACGTTTGAAGGAGCCTCAGGGGTCAATGAGTTGATTCTGACCTCCAACAAACTGGAGAACGTGCACCACCATATGTTAAAGGGACTCAGCGGCCTCCGCACACTGTGGGTACACACACACACACACGCACACACACACACACACACACACACACACACCAATGTCATGCATATGTATCAAGAATTCCATTGATATTCAGAAGCTTTTTCATATTTATTTAAACCTTCCTACCAGGTAATCCATTTGTACTTGTATTAACGTGTTTGTGTTTTTGTGTGTATAAAGTATGCTTCGGAGTAATCGCATCAGCTGTGTGAGTAACAGCAGCTTCGTTGGGTTGAGTTCAGTCCGTCTCCTCTCACTCTACGACAACCAGATCACCTCCATGAACCCTGGAGCCTTCGACACGCTGCACTCCCTGTCCACACTGTGAGTAAAAACAACACGGCACAGCGAAGTAGAGAAATAGAAGTATCACAATCCACAGTGAGCAGGGAGGTGAAGGACCCAAACGTAGGACTAGGAGGCCGGAGACGTCGCAGAACCAAAAGCATTAGTGCAAATGAACAGGCCTATGAAAGGCAAACAGAACATGATAGAAAAAGACAAGACAAAGAATTATGACAAGGATCCCACATACTGTGAACCAGAGGAAACTAGTCAGATTATGTACTGAGGAAAAACTAATGATGAATGYCATACAGTAAGTGGGGTAAGAAAAGAACAATGTCTACCAAATTAAAGTGGGAAGTAAAACTAACAGAATAACAAATGCATAAATCTATACAAAACCAAATTAATAACCTTTTAAGTCAGGGGTCTGCAACCTGAGGCTCTGGGGCCACATGTGGCTCTTTGGTCCCTCTACAGTGGCTCTTTGAAAATGTGATCAAACATAACAGAATGTTTTTTGTTTTGCTTTTATACCCACAACAGAAATAAATTTGTGTGCAAATACGTGATCAATGCTACTAATACAAAACGTAAAACATGTTACCTGTTGTTTTCTTAAATAATCCAACTTTTGTCTTTCTCTCAAATCCATCAGAATTACCTTTAAAGAATATTAAAAACTAAATAATAAGAATTAGAAAAAGAAATAAGCCTGAATAATTCAGTTGTACTATTTTTTTATGAAATTAGGTACAAACTATATAAAGTATTTTTCTTGTTTACATGAATATAGTCTTTATTTGTTCTGATGGGTAAAAACAATAATAAAAAATAAAATTCGCAATATATTTTTTAGTTTTATAATGTCATCTCCACTGGCCGTAAAAGTTCCCAGAAAGGCCTCAAAAAGGCCCACAGACCACCAGTTGATAATCACAGTTGTAGCTTATTTTGCAGCTCTGGGCACATTTTATTACTGCGTCAGTAACAGAAATGGCTCTTTGATTGTAAAGGTTGCAGACCCCTGTTTTAAGTCATGGCTATAACTTTATAGAAAAAACATGTTTGTTGTCTTAATTCTGCAGAAATCTCCTGGCCAATCCCTTCAACTGTAACTGTCACCTGGCCTGGCTCGGCGACTGGCTGAGGAGGAAACGTATCGTTACTGGAAACCCTCGCTGCCAGAATCCCTATTTCTTGAAGGAGATTCCCATCCAGGATGTAGCTGTCCAGGATTTTGCCTGTGAAGATGGTGAGATAAACACTGCTTTGTGTGATGCTCATGTTTTGTTTTGGGTTGTCTTTCCCTTCGATTTTCATTAATGTATTCATCATTTTCAGGTAATAACGAGAACAGCTGCTCTCCTGTCCTGAGGTGTCCAGCAGAGTGTTCCTGTCTGGACACGGTGGTCCGCTGCAGCAACAAGGGTCTCACCACGCTACCCAAGGGCCTCCCTAAAGAGACCACTGAACTGTGAGTGAATAGCATCAATGTATTTACTAAAAGACACCCAAACTCTTTAAATGGAAATAAAACATTATTACAATCCATTATAAATCTTTAGTTTTAGATGCTAGAATACAAAACTGCTAATTTTCATTGAGGACTGCCACAAAAAAGTTTACCACTAAAGAAAAAAAAACTAATTAGAGCTAAAATTGGGATATTTAGTAACAGTTGCTCATTTCATTTGTAACAGATAATTAGATTATCATTACCTAATTGGCATATTTTTAATAAAATCAGGGCAGAAGTTCATGATTATTCATAAGTTAATTGACCATTAACTTGTCATTAACTAATTAGGAGCTATTTAAAGCAACTTCATAAGTAGTTTGTGATAACATAATGACCTGTTTGTAATTAGTCCTTCATTAGTGCCTCATTAGTGCCCATGTCACTAAACACATTTTGTAGCCCTTCTTGTTTGTGCTGCCAAATACTAATATGCATTTATGTCGAAAACAATAAAAGTCGTGGAGCTGCAGCAGAGAGGGAAGTGGAGTCTGTTGTCAGGGGGTCTTTAGGGAGGGTTGTCTGATGACAGGAGTCGCTTGGTTCAAATGACCAAAACAGAATTCACAGATTAACATTAGCACAAAAAACTCAGATCTTTGAGCTTCCCAACCCCTTTCTAATAGTTTTAAGTGAAACAAATTTTCATAAAACCACAGAGGATTTCATTTCTGGGACTCAGCTGAACGCATTCAGTCTCGCAGAAAAATCCCCTCACATCGAAGAACTATAACTCTAAATTAAACATCAGAGGTGTTTACTGCCCTCCAGTATTAAGAAAGAATTAGTTAAAACACTGGATTAATAGCCATAAAGTGACAGAAATTCAATCTCATTCGTGTATTTGTGTGTGGGTGTGMGTGTGGGTGTGAGATGCCTGTGGGAATATTCACTGTTTATTTTCTCTGTAATGTTAATGAGGAGGCAGGATGTGAGGAATTTCCCACATGGCTCAAAGTTACTCTTTTTTTCCTTCTCTTTGTTTTCTAATCATCCTTTTACATTCTTCATATTTCCTTTTTCTTCGTGTTTTTCATTTCCCATGTGTTTGTTTTCTTTCCCTTCCTGCCTGTCTCGCAGGTATTTGGACGGTAACCACTTCACTCAGGTTCCTGTGGAGCTCTCCGATTACAAACACCTCACCCTCATGTAAGTTTAATCCACGTGAGCCCAAGGGACACAAACCCCAACGCCAAACTCCAGTCAAACGCCCACCTCTCAGGATCGTGACTTGGCCTTTGTTTCCCCAGTTTTAAAGACTAAAACTAACYGATTGTTCTTCTGTCAGAGTTTTGTGTTGAATCAGATTTGTTTGGCGCCGATCGATGTCAGAACAACACAATCCAAACAAGTGTCGTGCATAAAGTCTGTGRGTGGGTTTGTTCATGCATGTATGTGTGTGTGTATTTTATGCATCTGTTGTTGTTTTCCTTTTTTCAGTGATTTGAGTAACAACCAGATCAGCACGTTGTCCAATCACAGCCTCAGTAACATGTCTGAGCTGCTTACCCTGTGAGTCTGACTGTACATCAGTCTCTTTCTAACGTCTGTGGYTGTGTGTGAGAGAAAAACAGAAGGTCTTTTATTTTTACCATCATAGAGTCGTATTAAACTCTGATTTATTGCTTTTGTGTGAAGGACCAAACTCGAGAGCTGAAATGAATAAAATGTATAAARTAAATCAAACTTAAAGGAAAATTGTTGAAATATTATTTTCCCTGTCAGAATATGAAAGAGTGTAATAATTAAAAAGGGTGTAATAATTTGTGTTAAGAGTAATGGTTTTAAGTTTAGTTATAGATTTAACTTTTATTTCTGCATGGAGGCCTTGTGTGTGTTTGTGTGTGTATGTGTGTGTGTGATCTTAAACTGTTTTGTGTTTGCTGCCAAACTTAAGGCCCAGTCAGTCACACTAGACAACCTATAATACTTTTTATGTCTAAATTGCCAATAAAAGTTGCATATTTGATAAAATTGTTACAATTACAGTATGTACATGTGAAAAAGAAGCTTCCTGTTGATTATTTCAATTCCATCTTCAACGGAGACGTCTTTTAAAATGTTCATAAGTAGGTATAAGTTGTCTAGTGTGACAGGGCCTTTAGACATGTGATAATGCAGTCTAAAAGCCTGTGTGCATTGGAAGATTTTTTTTTTATTCTTAATTTTTTTGTGTGTAAAGAATCCTGAGCTACAACCGCCTGCGGTGCATACCAGTGAGGGCGTTCGACGGGCTCAAATCGCTCCGTTTGCTGTGAGTATATGAGAGGCTGTCACCACCTGACACCGGTAAACACTGCGCAGATTCTCACCGGGGCTGAACATGTAATCCAGGCTTCATGTTCATGTTTCTGTGTCCCCTTCCCCTCTCTCATCACGCTTCCCTCACCGCTCTCAGATCTCTCCATGGAAATGACATATCTCTGATACCAGAAGGAGCTTTTAAAGACTTGTCGTCACTTTCCCATCTGTGAGTAACGCAGGAACCCCAAGGATGAGTTCAAATATGAGTTAAAATATTTTTTACCCCTAAAAGTTCATGTTTGTTTTGTAACTGTGTCAGAAGTTGGGTTTAACTTTTGAATTCCATGACCCAGACATTGTACCAACTGGATTAGATTTTTATTTGATGTTCCACAGTCTTACTCGTTGCGCCTCAATCGGCTACAACGATCCCTGTTTTCACTGTTGCCRCCGCTCATCCACAGAGCTCTGGGGGCCAACCCTCTGCACTGTGACTGCCACATGCAGTGGCTCTCAGACTGGGTGAAGAGCGGCTACAAGGAGCCCGGCATTGCCCGTTGTGCTGGGCCCGGCGACATGACTGACAAACTGCTCCTCACCATGCCCTCCAAAAAGTTTACCTGCACAGGTGAATGCACAGAAACACACTTCAATCTGCCAGCAAATAGACACATGTAGACATAAAAAAAGATGTTCTCTGAATGCAACAGGTGTTTAAAACAAAATATGTACATACAGGGGGAAAGATGCTTTTTGCGCTGTTAAATATGAGTTTATGATGAGTCCCTTCAGAGATCAAAGGCTGTTCAATATAAAGTGTCACTGTTTGTGATGTATATCTCTGAAAACAAACAATTGTGGAAAAATTAGCTTTCAGTATGTGTTTGAATTAAATTTTATAGGATATACATTTTTCCTCATAAGATGGACGACATGATTAGTCGGTCAGCTCTGTCAGGCCATTCAAACACCCTTTTTAAATTATTTATGTTAGCCAATATTTTATATTTTGTCTCAAAGTTTAAAGATGGCACTATCCCTGGATAAAAGGTTTTGTTAAAGACAGTCAAATTTCATTTATCTCAAAAATATTTTCTTCTTTTTTTCTTTTTGTCAGAAACCAGACACTTGTGAAATTAATACTAATAATAATAATAATGATGACATGAACTGCAAAGGTTACATTCAGACATACTCAAAGGAATTTTTCAGTTGAAGTGCAGCAGCACTTTTTTCCCATAATGACAATATATTAAAATATGTAAACAATTCTGGTATTTAGATAATACAAAATGAGCATTGATGCTTTATTGTTGCTTTGGCTGCAGTTTATTGTTTTACAACTTTTAATTTTTACTAACCATGTTTAAGATGTCAACTAACCTAACGAATTAAAAAAGAATATGCAGGTGTTTGCTGGTTTATATTCAGGAAAACTGAAACTGTAAACTACATTACATGCAGCTTTTGTCTTTATATCATGGGGCAATTRAAATGTTGAAAGTGTCTCTTAAATCCTCACACTTGCCTGATGCATGATTTTGGCTGCAACTCGTTATACCGAACAGTGCTACTGACTGTTGACATTAACCCTTTCAGTTAATTATATGAAATTAACTCTGAATCCATGACTGAAACCTATTTTTGACCTAATCTAACTGACGCACTGTAGAAGTCCTCGGGCCTTGTGGTTTTCTGGTGACAGGTAATCGTATCCCAGTCACTTCTTTCAGCCCCCCCCACCCCGTTTTGAAAAAGTCCCCCAGCCCAGTTTTCCTTATCCTTAAGATCCTTCCCAAACTGAGCTGTTCTGCTTCCTGTTTAGTCCTCCTGTTTTAACCATCACGTGTTCTGGTTCTTAAATGTTGATTGAGTTGAGAATATATGTGTCCCCTGTACATATTAGGGTCCTGCAAAGAAAAACATGTTTACTGTTTAATAATTCAAATAACTTATCTTAATGTTTTGCAAGATGTAAAGTTTCATTTTCACTAATTGACTACTTTTATTTAATGTGCAATATTTTATTATTTAAGCTTTATCTCCACTGGATGTAACACCATCATTTTATCTGTGCAGGTCCCTAATCATGCTCAGCTGTCTAACTGTGTGTGAAATGTTAATTAGCTCACTTTATTCCCCCTCCATGGAGAATATTTGAAGATAAATATATACGTTGTTTGCATGTGCTGTTTTTGGTCGGTGCATCACACAGGCCCAGTGGATTTGAGCATCCAGGCTAAATGTGACCCCTGTCTGTCCAACCCCTGCAACAATGACGGCACATGTGCCAACGACCCTGTGCACTACTACCGTTGCACCTGCCCTTATGGATTTAAGGTATTTAGATGCTTGAAATACTAATTATATATTACATATAAAAAACAATAATGATAAACCTCTGTTTCTTTCAGTGAGTAAAATTGAGTTAGTAAATATTTTAGCAGTGCAAAAATGAGCGCAATCAATCTAAGCTTTAAGACAGACATGGAATATGTGTCAATCATAAAACCCAGATGTCTTTGGATAGTACTGATTATTTCTGTGTATGTGTAGGGACAAAACTGTGAAGAACCTATACATGCCTGCATCAGTAACCCATGTCAYAATGGCGGAACGTGCCATCTGAAAGAAGGCGAAGGGAGCAACTTTTGGTGAGAAACTTTCAATATTTTGTACATCCAGGTATTTTTATTCTTAATACTTTATGGGTTGTGTTAAAGCAAAATTTTGAACAGTTTTCCTGAGAAGTGGCAACAGAAGCTTCACCAACTACAGGCTGTAATTAAAGTGTGTTGGTTAAATTCCTGCGAACAGCTCATACAACAAACATAAAATCAGTTTTACTGTCTGTAGCAAGAGACAACTTTTGTCGGCTTCAGCTTAATAAAATTATTAAATACTAATTTACTTTGATCTGTTTGTTCATTATTTTTCAAAACTGACTTCATTCTTGAAAGATAAATATAGTTCCTATAT